TGGAAAGTTCGCCTTTCAGTTTCACAGTTATTATTTCAGCGGGCTCGCAGACACCGGAACATCATATCATCACCATCAGTTCTATTTCTGTACCGCAGAAACCCGTTGATTCGATAAAGTCAAACGGTGGAGAGGCAGCACGGTCGTTGAAGCGCAAAAGTCCAAATGGTTCACTTTATTTATTTTTCAGAAAGGTCGCTTGTTTGATTAAGATAATCGAATTCTATGGCATTACTAATTTTTAGGTTTATTTTTTGTCCAGTCTGCGACTACAGGATCTTTGTGCTAGACTTGGAGCCACAGAATCATTGAAAAGCCATGCGTGGACCCTTTATGAAAAGATTTTGTGTGAACAAACAGACCTTTTAAAGGGGCGGCACATCGATCAGATTTTAATGTGTTCCTTGTATATTGTAGCAAAGGTTGGAACCAGCGCATTGCTATTTTTTTCTATTATTTCCTTTTGCAGGTTATATCACAAGATATTGCTTTCCAAGATATCATGTGTTCTTATCGTTGTCAGCCGCAGTCCAAGAGCAGAGTTTGACTAACGTTTTACAATAGACTGCTATATTGCTATTAGTTTATTTATAGGTGTACAGAAATGTGTTGCTTGACGACAAGAGTTCTAGCCCTGTCGAGGATATAGAAAATCATGGATTTCGTAAGTTTGATTAGTTTTTGAAACTTTGCATAATCTGTGCTGAACACATGAAATTGGAATTCTTCAGCCTGTTATTGACACTATTTTGCTTATCTTCGATTTTTTATTTATACTCCCGTTGAAACGATAAATGCAGCTTAACAAACGGGTTAGTTTGAACATAACGTAATACAACATGTTGCAACAATAAAACAGAACAAAACAGCAATAGATTGAGGCTTGACTTAGTCAGCAGTTTCGGCCACTTATCCATTCTGGGTACGTAGGCAGTCAGGCAACGTTTCCGATTATCGAGCTTAGGACTCGGATTCCGTCTGAGCTTAGGCAGAAGATAACCGAGTCTCGAATAGAATCCGTCATCTTTCAGAATGAACCAATATCGCACAGTTGTTTTTAGTTCTAAGCAAGTTAGTTTTCTTCGAACGCAGTGCCTATTTCCTGTTCTATTTTGATGTTAGTAATGCTATACACCTTTTTCGGCTAGGTAATATTGGACTGCAGCCTGTATATGTTTAACATCGTTTTATCCTTGACTGCAGCCTTCCTGTATGTTAGCTGTTTCAGTATTTTCTGTACCTCACCAACTGATGTTTAGATTGCGAAAATCGCGAACCCTTACGCTCTGGTAGCACCCTGCCGATTCCTGCTGTTGAGTCAGCTCCACCTACGCCAAATCCTCATGGCGAAGAACGCGGCGATCTGATAAAGTTTTACAACTCAATTTTTGTTGCTAGAGCGGAGCATTACGTGAAGAGGATCAGATCTAATGGAAAAAAATCATCTATGGAAGTAACTGCGGAGGAAGGGTTTGATTATCGCTACAAAGTAATGCTGTTTAGAACTTGCTGCCGCTCTCTCCGCTTCCTGTTGTCAAGTGCCAAAGCTTTTCTCCAAGACGGCGCATAGCCAAAGCTGTTTTCGTATCTCCAATGAAAAGTAATGTCCATATGACGGCCCCGACCCGCCCATTACGTTACTGCTTCTATCGAAGTCCCTACAAGGCAAGCTTTTATATATTTTGGTATTTTATCCAGTTTTCGTTTATTAGCGTCAACGTTACATTCTGGTGTGTTCACATGGAGGTTATTTTTACAGCATCCACGGGAGTAATAGATAAGCATCTAGAGAATTCTAGCCAAAATGGTGTTCACGTATTTATTCTCTTGGTGATTAGAGATAACTAAGTACTTTTTGTAGCTCTTATATTCGTTCATAGATGCACTTTTTGACAGCAATTGTTTATTTGAAAGCTGACTGACGGATAAGACTCATGAAAGCACAAAATGTGCCGAACTTCACATTTCTCGGTGTGCACGAGCGTCATTCCTTGTTCTCTCTTTCTGCATTTGCACAGTTGGGAGATATGAAGTTAAGCTAGTGCAGTACGTAAGTGTTTAATGACTCTTCAAGTTCTTCAATTTTGTTCATCTAGCAGTATTCGGACATCAAAGGAAACTGTTTACTTCGGAACCTTACCTGATCACTGTCAGAACTAGTTTTCATACAACGATATCTTTATTCTTCTGTGCACGCCTTTTGCCCAATAAATTTTATCCAGCTGTACCAATGTTGCAACAACTATTCTGTTTATTGTACTTTTGACAACACAAACCCATCGTCTACTTTCTCATACTGACCTAGCCGAACCAGACAAATTCCTGTACTTTTCGCACCTATGCTCTTCTAGGTGAACGTCCGTCTCTATCTTTCCTGTACTTGTTTGTTGTTTTGAACTTGGTTTTTTCTACGTAAACTCTATCCGAATTCAGTGCCAGTATTTTCAAGCTGTATACGAAACTGGGCAGTTCCGTTTTTTTATTTCATTCAGCACGATTGCACACGGCGAATTTATTTCTCCTTCGGGTATCTGCTTCATTACTATTTGCAAAATGATATTGTACAGATAAGGGGAAAGTAAGCAGCTGTTTTCGACTCATGATAATCTTCAGCAATCTCTTTTGATGGTAGGCATGAGGGGTGTTATCTTGTTTCGTTTTCCTGATATTCAGACGTCTTCCGAATCTTTGGCCCTTCATCTTTCGTCGCTAGCACTACCTCATTAACTATTCACATGAACGACCATGCGAGGTTTTGACTGCCTGCAATCGCTGCCGGAAAAAATTTTGTGCGTAATGATTCTGACGTAGATGTCTGTTGTCTTTTATTGGTTGTTTAAATAACCGGATGAACAAATATGTATTCATCAGTTCATAACACGGTTTAGTAAAATGACCAAAAACGACGAGTTCAACGTTTTTCCTAACAAAACCCCTTTCTGGCCGCAACATGAAATTTAGAACGTCTTGGACAGGCGGATTTGCTCTCAGTCATAAATATGACCTTAATTTCAGCATCTAACGATGTTTCATATATTTCTGAAAAACCATATCGAACGGTTAGACGGCAAATTTGTGCTATCCTGCATCTAAAGTTTGGCTTAGTAGCGATGACAACGGCAGAATACACTACTCAAGAATTTACAAGCAAATGCAAGATTTTCACTTAAGTCAAACTTTTCAAACGGAAGACGACGCGGCATTGCTGCATTGTTGGATCCACCAGGAATTAGCAGTCTTGTATTACTGGCCGGTCGCAAAACATTGTCCTACGTTCTGTTTGACCGACAGTTGCTTCTGTTGTAGCCATATTTTCACAATGAATAGCTAACGAACTTCATATGCAGATCATAGGTTCGAGTGCGGGCAGTCACGAATGATTCATCCAAAATCAGATGTAACGTTGTACTGCGCCGCTCCCTTGTTCCCCGTTGTCTAAGGGGTCATTTCAGCCGGTCACCTTTTCATGGTATTTGTTCTGCGATGCCAGATGCATTTTGCATCATTTTGTGCGTTAAAGCCACCTGGCGTTCATCATGAACGATGTTTCAGGAGCTGAAACTCCTCATATGCTACCACATAGACATGTTCGGCTGTTCATACGCCTGAGTATGTCGACGAATGACTCCTCCAAGACCGGATTTCACGGTGCATTGCACCACCCTCTTGCTCCTAGTTGCCTAGGAACCCGTCACATCGCTCGTGATGAATGTAAGGTGGCTCTGGGGGAAGAACCTAATTCAAGATGCATCTGACATTGTCGGTGTTCAAATGCCATAGATCCGTGGCTTGCTTAAATGCCCCCTGCCCCATTCCCTTTCAGGCAACGGAGAGTAAAAAGGCAGTGCTATACGCCGTGAAATCCGGTCTTGGAAGAGTCATTCCTTAAATGAACAGTTCATATTTTGGCGGTAGTCAGTTTAATTCTTTTAAATTGTTTGGCTTACTAGTGGAAGTCTTCTTCTGTTTTTGATACCGGATAATGGTGATTACGCCGCTTTAATCCGGTATCATAAACTGAAAAGGATTATATATCCTTGCGGCGATATCAAGAACTAGCAGTATGCTAGTAAATCCATATGATCGGGCTTTATTTTTCTGTTTAAATATGTCTACGGTTCGTGGCATATTTGCAGGTGCCCGAACAGGCCCTTGTTCGGTCCTGCCTAGTGATGCGGTTTTGCATCCATGCACTGCAGGTGCTCAAATACCATGGAGCCGTGGCCTTCTTAAATAGTCCCCTAGGCCACTAGAAGCAAGGGGTCGGTGCTTACGCCGCTTCAGTCCGGTATCAAAACTTAAAAGGATTATATATCTTTGCGGCGGTATCAAGAACTAGCAGTATGCTAGTAAACCCTAAAGATAGGGTTTTATTTCTCTATTATTGGTGAAAGACTTTTTAGTTTTGCGAAATTCCCAGAGCCTCACGTTTTTGCCGTCTGCTTTCAGGTATAGTGTATACATCCCTCGCTGCTGTTGGTCAGTGCTTGAAGAAGTGCTGTATGCAATAGTTGAAGTGGAGAGTATGCAGGGTCTTCTAACAGCGTTATTCGTAGATATCTGCATTGTTCTTCCACTTGTGCTGAATTGTAACCTGCTTCACTCCGTACTGAATAGTTATAGCATGTTTAAACAGCTCATTAAGAAAATTACAAATGCTGCATCGTCGTCTGATTCACTGCTTGATTATTGCAGTTATTCACGAAACAGTTTATGATGTGAAAAATGCATAAAAGCTGTTTTTTATATGCAATACAAACCGTTTTTATGCATTTTTCAGTCAGGATGATCACCAACATATGAGCATATTACTCAGTCTTTGAAATGTCATGTGCATCTTTGATATTAATGGCCAGACGCATTTAAAGTTTCCCTCTGACCGCACGTTGAATACGATATGAAAGATAGTACTTATTAACGACATCTCGAGGAATCAGCAGAACGGCTATTCAGTTGGTTGCAGAGTGGATTGCACCGCACTGCAACTCTAGCAATCTCTGCATTGCCACCTGCCAGATTTCAACTTGTGTAGCTAGTTTCTCCTTTCGAGCACTGATTTTCTTCTTGTACACCACTCAGACTAAGAGCAGCAGTTTGTTCTCATGCCATAGACAAAGTTACTCGAAGCGTTCGGAAGTTGAATACCGCTTCATCGATTATTTCGTTGCTTGCTATTTCCTTCGACATGCGAGCATTAGCTTGGGGAAGTTTTTACTATCGTCTTTCCCCGTCAAACTGGCTAGGTTTACATCTTGACTACTGAGATTCAGCTAGGCTTAGTATTAAATGAACTCGAGTCATCTGACCATCTGTCTGTCACCACTTCTATGACAGCCTGTTCATGTTCCCAAATATTATGATCTTTCTGTTTTAGCATTGAAGATATACACGTTAGTATGCCCTCAGTCGTGTGTTCTGAAGCTTCTCGTGCTTGATTTCACTCATAACCTTCCAAAGGAACTTTTATGTCAAGAATCGCGGCCTCGGTTATTATTGGGCATACATTACCATGGGTAACGATAGGCGCATAAAGAAAGCTGAAGACGGAACTTCCCGTTGCTGCCCAAGTCCTTCAGTGCCATAGACCGGTTTAGCTCCAGCGTTATTGCGCTCGTTTGACCAATTCGTATCGCCGCTTTTAAATCCTCTTTGCTGTCTCTTAGTGTTACTCCAACTTATCCACCTGATGCCACGGATTCTTTACGTTCAAAGCACGTTGACTGATCGTTCTGAAGAATAGTAATAGCGGATTTCGGCGTCTGATTGTCGCATGCAACTGCAAATCTTTCATGTGTACGTTGAATTGAGAATGAAACAATTTAAAGACAGAACAGAGGCAGTCGAGCATCCTCCGCTGCAACTTTCTCCTTGTTTATTCTGTGTCTGCTGCGCCAATCCATAAACACTGTGAGATTAAATGTAGACAATCCGCAACTTTCAATGTTTTTTTGATATTTTCTGGTAACTTTTTCATTGCGACATTGGTTTGGCTTTATTGCTTCTTCTGAATGTTTATTGCTTTTGGGAAGTTCCTTTTTTACTAAATTTGAACTCAGAGTACTTATTAAGTTTCACTACTTCTAAGTGTGTAATTTTATCTCATTTGTGGTAATCTTTTCATGAATCACGTTGTGAAACTTCATTTTTAGGATCTGAAAACTATAAATAACATGATGGACGAGGCGGAAGAAGCTGCCGACGATGGAAGGAAAGATACTTATAGTACTAAGAGACTTTTGAACTTCGACATCAAAGCATCCACTTTACCGCCAACATTCTTGAAGAAATGGCAAGAAATGGAGAAAGAGCTTGTTGATGACTGCCTTTAAGCTGTTTTATCGAGTGCTGTAAATTGCTGACATTTCGTTTTCGCAGCTCGTATGTTTACTTCGTTATCTAATTTAATCCGTACTTAAAATTTGTTATCTTTTTCCCTAGTTTAGATAGCCTAAATATCGTGGCCGTTGTTTTTGATGAAACCGAATGAAATTGGTTTATTTTTGTGTCCAAAGCTGCTATGTATTAGTTCCATGGCTTTTGATATTTGCCGTTTCATTGGAATGATCTGGATTCTAAGTTTAATCAAGGAAAGTTACAAGGTCACTTTGACAAAAAGTATATATGACTGCAAACAGCATCAGGTATTGTTACATCAAAATATCTGGGATATCGTGAACTAAATTAAGAGAAAGAGTTGAAGTTACTAGATTCCCTAAACAATGCGTTTGCGTAAATACGTTTTAAACCTATTTTAATATCGGTCGCATTAATTAGCATGTAGCTTATCATTGCAGCTGTTGCAGGCCAAAACTTAGTTTAAGTTGAAACCTCCGTTGACAGTGGGTTACGTATCGCCGAAACATTGCAGATGGTTCATACTTTTGTTTTATCGTGTACTGCAGTAAAGTGACATATTTGGATCTAAGCTGAAGAATCACTTGTGACAGTGCTTTGTCAGCGTCTGAATATAAAACTGTTCATTTTATCAGTGTGCTGTACGGCGAGCGACTAACTGTTTTGGGTCAGCAAATCGCAACTCCGCGTTGCCGTTCCTAAGTCCAGTTTAGAAATAGGAGGGTTGGAGACCGTGGCAGAGTCTCCGTAATATTTAGCTACTTGCCATTCAGGGCATTGACGCCATCGAAAATTATACCGGCTCAGTCTTCGCCAGGGTTACCAAGGGCCGCGCAGGTTGTTGGGGATACTGAGCTAGACTGCGAAGAGTCGGCGATCAGAACCTGCTCATCGCCCTCTGCCAGCCGGGGGCGTGGCAGCACAACGACGGCTGACGA